ACTTAGCTGCTGAGCCACATCCCCAGCCCTTTTTATTGTGGAGCTGGGGATTGAACGCAGGGCCCTGTGCATGCAAGACAAGCACTCAACCAACTGAGCTAAATCTCCAGCCCATCCCCAGGCCTTTTTAAAAAATATTTTATTTTAGAGACAGGCTCTTATTAAGTTGCTGAGGCTGGCTTTGAACTCACAATTCTCCTGCCTCAGTCACTGGAATTACAGGCGTGTACTACCACATCCAGCTCTGCAATTATAACGATTAATTCACATCTCAACATCAGCCCATCCAGTCAATCACTGTGGTGTGCACCTGAAATCCCAGTGACTTGAGAGGCTGAGGCAGGAGGATCACACGTTTGAAGCTTGTCTGGGCAACTTAGTGAGTACTTCCCTCAAAATAAAAAGGGTCACAGGTATAACTCAGTGGTACTTGGATTTCTCCCCCTGGTACTTGGATTCAATTCCCAGTACCAGGGGGAGAAAAAAAGCATGATCACATCAAAGAGGTCCTCCTGACTACTTCACGGAAAATACATTCCCCTAGTCTCTCCTCACTGTCGTCCCAGCCACATAATGGATTTCCTAATAATGCTGACAAAGTTTGGAGCTGTGCATTTTTGATACTTGGTTACATCTGTCTTCCCACTATATTGTAAATTCCATAGATGAGAAAGGGCCTCTCTGTTTTGCTCTCCACCATATCCATAGGGCCTGACACAGAGTAGGTGCTTAGTGAACATTGGGCAGTATCAAATATGCAAATGTTAGCTAATGTTATGATAAGGATGATGTCATCAAAGCCCTTCCAGAGAACCCCACTATTTTGTCAAAAGGCTGAACCCATAGGTAGGGTTGTCCAAAAGTGGAATCAGGAAAATTCCACAGGGACTTCCCTACACCATCCCAAGATGAGGTCATTTTGGATTCCAAAGAAAGAAGCATTACGCGCAGGGGTGATCAGTACAGAGCATTTCTTAGGGGGACTTGCATACAGGGCAGTGTGAGGGCTGCAGCGTATTTTTATGGGGAACCAAAAGAACAGGAATATTCTAACCAAAGACAATGGCTGGGATGGGATTGGGGTTACGGAGTTTATGTGAGGTTGGAAGGAATTTGGCTTCTATATATTTAGCAACCTGGTTAATCAGCAACAAGTTTATTAGTGCCTGGGAATGTTCAAGGTCTCAGCTTGGGGTCAATCCTGCAGGAGATAACATGCGCCTGGCCAGGTCACAGCAAGCTCTCTGTGTTTCTTGGTCAGGACATAGAAACCAAGGGGAAAACTGAGGGTCCCCCAACACTG